CACGCGCACACACACACACACACACACACACACACACACACACACACACACACACACACACACACACACACACACACACACACACACACACATACACACACACACACACACGCACACACGCACACACACACACACACACGCATATGTATGTGTGTATATATATATATATATATATATATATATATATATATATATATATATATATATATATATATTTATATATTTATTAATAGTGCTCTCGCTCTCGCTCTCTCTCTCTCTCTCTTCCTCTCTCTCTCTCTCTCTCTCTCTCTCTCTCTCTCTCTCTCTCTCTCTCTCTCTCTCTCTCTCTCTCTCTCTCTCTCTCTACATATATATATATATATATATATATATATATATATATATATATATATATATATATATATATATATATATATTATTTTACTGCTCTGTCCTACGACAGGTCTATGGCACCCACTTTCTTCATGACCCTCCATTCTCGTTTAATTAACGTGCCTAGTTTTTTATGAAGGTATTTCCTGAGATGTCTTGCTATGTATTGTAAACAATACATGACAAGGCCGCATGGTATGCTTCACACTTCTATTTCAAGCAGCTGCCTTAATGTAGCAGGTGTGTGTGTGTGTGTGTGTGTGTGTGTGTGTGTGTGTGTGTGTGTGTGTGTGTGTGTGTGTGTGTGTGTGTGTGTGTGTGTGTGTGTGTGTGTGTGAGAGAGAGAGAGAGAGAGAGAGAGAGAGAGAGAGAGAGAGAGAGAGAGAGAGAGAGAGAGAGAGAGAGATAGAGAGAGAGAGAGAGAGAGAGAGAGAGAGAGAGAGAGAGAGATTGTATTATAATCATTGTCACTATCATTACCACTGTCAGTAGTAGTGGCATCCATGTCTGGCCACGTTGAAGAGTTACCCTGCGCCAATCAAGACTTAGGAGCAGAGTCGGTAACTGTCCTTTTTGTGCTGTGTCGTCTCTCTTGCATGGCGTTCCTTTCCAGAGTATAGGCCCAGGTAAGGGTGGTATGGCAGGCAACCATTGGCCCATGCAGTATGTACCCAGTTTGGCACCATTGCTGTTGCAGAAAATGCTCGGACGAAGTTGAAGTTGCTCGGACGAAGTTGAAGCCAACGGCGACTCGCATAAGGGATTCCTCAAGGTTGACTCCGTTTTCGTATCTAGATAGTACACTTCAGTACGAGAGACCAACGCCAAAGCGCCACGGCGACCGCAGCCCCCACTCGTTTTCATTGCCATTGCTTAACATATCTAGAGAAAAACGAGTATGTGTGTGTGTGCCTTCATATCTATATATATACACATATATATTTTTAATGTAAATGTGCTTACACACATACAAACACACATACATACATATGCGTGTGTGTGTGTGCATAAAGCCAGTAAGTCCTGGCTTCATGTTGTGTCTAAGATGGGGGCGGAAAGGAACATTCCCCGGTTTTAAATGCTTGTTCCATTACTAACATACTATGTTCAGGAAGCTAAACGAACCGTAATATGAGGATATGTGTGTGTGTGTGTGTGTGTGTGTGTGTGTGTGTGTGTGTGTGTGTGTGTGTGTGTGTGTGTGTGTGTGTGTGTGTGTGTGTGTGTGTGTGTGTGGGCGCATGTGTGGGCGTTAACATGTGGGTGTGTGTGAACATGTGCGCGTACGTGCATGTGCGCGTGCGTGCATGTGCGTGTGTGTGAACGTGTGCGTGTGCGTGAACGTGTGTGTGTGCGTGAACGTGTGCGTGAACGTGTGCGTGTACGTGTGCGTGTTGGTGAACGTGGCGTGTGCGTGAACATGTGAGCATACGAGCATGTGAATGTGCGTGTGCGTGTGCGTGCGTGTGCGTGCGTGTGCGTGTGTGTGTGCGCGCGTGTGTGTGTGTGCGCGAGTGTGTGTGTGCGCGAATGTGTGTGTGCGCGTGTGTGCGTGCGACGTGCGTGCGTGAGCATAAACGGGTGAATATGAATATATAATAAGCATAATAGATATATGAGTAAATAAACAGAATGCACTCTCTATTTTGCATAGAACTATATGTCACAATACATCCAAATACGCGATTATTAAACTCACAATGAATAATGTGACAATTAAATTGGAAATGTAGTATTAGTTTGTGCGAATGCTCTCAAAACAATTTATTTTCCAGGCCTATGTTCCTGTTAACAAGTGTATAGGACAATTTACATAAAACAAAAAGAATATTTTTTTCATATCTATCACCAGCATACCAGCAGAAAATAGTAATAAAAATAAATGTGATCGGCCTGCCCGGTGACTCGCTGCCACACGACGGGTCACAGACCCGGCGTGCATTTCTAAACGAAACAAAAAATAATCCCCCAAAACGTTCTAACTTCTACCAAACATTTAACTTTTATTGAACTATTTTCTACCTTAATCATAAATTGTCGACAAAACCTTAAATACAAGAAGTTGCCGAAAATAAAATGAGAGCTCCTCTCTCGGAAATGCAATCCAAACAAAATTCATGGCCGA